CCGACCCGCGCCCCGGCCCCGGGCTGCAGTCGGGGGGCAGCGCGCGCTCCAGCGTGTCCAGCCTGGGCTCCCGCGGCTCTGCGGGCGCCTATGCCGACCTGCTGCAACCGGTCCTCGGCCCCGCGCCTGCGCGCTCCCCGGAGCCCGTCCCGTTCCCGCTGCCTTCGCTGCCGCTGTCCCCGGGTCGGGACGGCGGTCCGAGCGCGGCCGAGCGGCGGCTGGAGGCGCTCACCCGGGAGCTGGAGCGCGCGCTGGAGGCGCGCACGGCGCGGGATTACTTTGGTGAGCTCTCGGCCGGGGTCCCGCACCTCCATCCTCCTGGCCCGGGGATGTGGGCGGTTAATCGGGATGCTCAAGGCACGTCTCCTCGTGGGGTTTTGTGAACCGTCAATCTAGAGATTGTTCTCCCGCCAGAGAAGTAGGGTTGATGCGCGGTTCCTGACTTAGAAAAATCAGGTTGATAAGCAGAATAAGCTATTTTCTGGATATTTCTTTCTTTCTTTCTTTTTCTTTTTTTTTTTTTTTTTTTTTTTTAAAGATCGATTTATTTAGAGATTAAAGCCTCACTGTGTAGTCCTGGCTGGTCTGGATACTTACCATGTAGACCACCAGGCTGGCCTTGAACTCACAGAGATCTGCCTGCCTCTGTCTCCTGAGTGCTGGGATTAAAGGCCTGTGTCCCCAGAATTTATTTTGTGTGTGTGCGCTGATGCCAGAGGAGGCCGGAGGAAGGTGTCAGGTCCTCTGGAGCTGGAGTTACGGGCAGTTGTGAGAGGCTCCACGTGGGTGCTGGGAACACAGCTTGGGTCTCCTAGAAGAGCAGCCCCTTTTCTAGACATGTCTTCTTTCCCCTTGGCATTGCTCTGCTCACCCTCTATTCCTGATGAACACAGGGAAATCCTATTGTCCCGGAGTTCACCTTTCCCCAGCAGTGTGAATGTGGTGAGAGATGGGTTGCCCCAGGTTCCCCTAAACCTGTGTGATCCAAGGCTTCAGTGCTGGTTCTGGCTGGAGGTGGGAGTATGTGAGGCTATATGAGTAAGCCAGGGCCAGTGCTGAACTGCTCTGTGTTGGGCTGTGTATCTAGGGTATTTCCTAAAGGAGTCCTGCTTACTAGGAATGTGACTCAGTGATAGAGCACTAGCCTAGTGTGCTCAGAGCCCTAGAATTGTACCTCTGCAAGGCAAAACAAACAAAAGCTTAAACCAACCTTACAGCTGGACACACACACACACACACACACACACACACACACACATCACACACAAATAGGGATTCAGGTTTTTTACTATAGCTAGGCAGGTTGATGTGTGCCTGTAATCCCAGCAGTCAGGAAGCAGAAATAAGATGATCTTGGCAAGGTATGTCCTACATAGATAGTTCCAAGCCCAACAAGGCTACATAGCAAGACTTTGTTTCAAAAAACAACTACAGCAAAAACCAGACTTTATACTATTAAAATCAACAAAGACGGTAAAGAAGGAACAACCTAAAATAGCCCAATAAAGGAATTGCATGCATTAGCAAAGCCCGCAAGTCTCTGATGACCTCCATTTCCCAGCCTTCCTTCCCTTTATCCCACGGGACAATGCTCAGGGCAAGATAGGGCAGAGAGAAGAGCCTCTTTCCTCAACAAGCAGGAAGGCGAGGCCCTTGGCTTGGAGGGAGCGCATGGTTATCAAGCCTGGGACGGGGCTGGTCTGAGATTTCTCTGCATTGCATTCAGGGAGCTCTAGGTCACACTGATGCAGATCCTGGGTGACTTCATGAAGGCCATACATTTGCAGGTCAGATGGGGGCATTGAAGGGTGGAGGGAAGAAAGTGAGGCTGTGTGATGTTGTATCACAAGGTTGTAACCCATGTATTGGCAAAAGGATTGGCCTGTCTTTGGGATGAGGTGATTGGTCCCAAGTGGGAAGTTTGCAGTTTAGTAGATGTGGTGGCTGCTCTCCGCTGGCTGGGAGTGGAGGTAAGTGAGAAGCTGTGGACTTTCTGCCACCGGCAGACCCTTCTGAAGGGGACATTCTGCTGTGCTCTTGGGGCACTGGCCATTTTTTTAGCCACTGAAGATTCTGGGCAGTGGTGCATCTGTTGGCCCTCAGGGCCACTCGTCAGTCTTTATATGACCCTGAGTAGTTAATGCTAGAAGCAAAGGGGCTGATGGCCAAAGACCGTAGGAGGCAAGGGACTCATCCTTTCTAGAGAGAAGTTAGGGCTCAGTCTTGACTCTTTCTAGCAACATGTGGTCTGAGGGGGTTGATTATAGAGCACCCCTGCCCATTTAAGACAGGGTCTCATGTAGTCCAGGCTGGTCTGGAACTTGCTGTGTAGCCCAAGGATAATCTTTATGTCTTGACCTTCTTTTCTTCACCTCCTGAGTGCTGGGATTACAGATGTGGGCCACCACAGCCAGTTTATGGGATGCTGGGAATGGAATCTAGGGCTTTGTATACACTAGGCAAGTACTCTGATAGGGTCTCATTCTGTATTCCAAGCCGGCATTCAACTAACCGTCCTCCTGCCTCTGCTTCCTAAAGTGCCGGAATCACAGGTGTGTGTCACCATACCTGGTCTAAATGGAGATTCCCCCTTCTTTCCCAGAAGCCAGAAATAAAGATTTTGGGAACATATTTCCTTGAACTATGTTTCTGATGACATTTGACTTTTGTTTGTTTTTTGTTTTTTGAGACAGGGTCTCCCTGTAGCCCCAACTGGCCTGAACTCACTATGTGGCTTTGATCTCACAGAAATCACCCTGCCTCTGCCTCTTGAGTGCTGGGATTCAAGGTATATGCTATCATGCATGACCCAACATTTGACTTCTTAGAGCTATAAAAGTTATGGATGAGGCAGGAGGATTGCGTATTTGAAGCTAGCCTGGGCTACAGAATGAGATCTTGACTACAGAATAAAACAAAAATGTGGTCGTTTTCTCCTTCCTCCCTTCCGCCCCCTCTCTCTTCCTCCTTCCTTTTTTTCCCTCCTTCCATTTCTCCTGCCCTTGGGTCTTCTTTGCCAGGGTCTCATACAGCCCAGACTAGCCTTGAGCTGCTAATTCACCTACCTTGCTTCCCAAGTGCTGGAATTATTGGTGTGTGCCACCACATCCAGCATGCAGTTTCATAATTTCATGTAGGTCAACCTCAGGAGATACCACTTACCAAAGGAAGGCTGGGAGGTGCAGACCAAGACCCCTGAAAGCCTTATCTGCAGTGTTTCCCTGTCTGCCATCGCCTGGTCCCTCCTCGCCTTGGCTTGCTGCCAGCTGACCTCTCCGTACCCCTGTGCCATCCATTGGTGTTTTTGGAACTTTCCCTTCTCTCCTTCCCAAGTTCCGCTGCCACCAGCCCCAGCCTCAGGCCCCGGAATTGCTTTCACTTTGCTGACCTCCTGCCTTTTCTCCTGCCACCCACTCCTAGGGTCACATACTGTTTTAGCTTCTCTGCAGCAGCCTTTGGTTCCTACTCCTGCCGACTGATTCCTCACAGGACCCAGGCTCTTAAGTTACTGGGACAGTCCCCTTGGCTGCTCTGCCTGGCTGTGGGGGGCTTGGGGGAAGCCCCAGGACCAGGGTGACATTTTTTATTTTTTAAAATATTTTATTCTTTTATTTTGTGTGTATGTGTGTATTGCCTGCATGTAGGTAAGTGCACCCGTGTTGTGCAGTGCCTGCGGAGGACAGAAGAGACCGTTGGATCTCCTGGGACTGGAGTTACAGACAATTGTTAACTGCATGTGGGTGTTGGGATTCGAACCCGGGTCTTCTGCAAGAATGATCTTATCTGCTGAGCCATCTCTCCAGTCTCTATGGGTGACTTTTTTTTTTTTTGGTCTTTTTGAGACAGGGTCTTCCTGTAGCCCCAGCTGTCCTGGAACTCACTATGTAGACCAGGCTGGCCTTGAACTCACAGAGATCCGCCTGCCTCTGCCTCCCAAGTGCTGGGACTATAGGTGTGCGCCACCACGCCTGGCTTAATTAAATTTTTTTAAATTAATTTGTGTGTGTGTGTGTGTGTGTGTGTGTGTGTGTGTGTGTATAGATAGATCGAGGACAGTTTGCAGGAGTTGGTTTTCTCTGCCGTGTGGGACCCAGAGATCAAACTCTGGTCATCAGGCTTGGCAGCAAGCACCTTTACCTACTGAGCCATCTCATGGGACCCAGGTGGATTTTTGTGGTTTGCACAGCTCTGCTTATCAGCCTTGGTCAATTTGTTGTTGTTCTTTTTTTTTTTAAATTAAT